GGGGGGGGTAAGGATATTTAATTTCTGCCATGTATATTAGTTATTTCTGCATAATCAGCAATTTACCTGGGGTGATGAATGGTCATTTTGTTGTAAAATATTATACTTACACAAATTTTTCCTTCCAATAACCCACCCTTCTAAACACTATAAGCACTTCAGAAAGGCTGTCGCTTTTGCTTTTCGGAAGTTAGAGCAATGTCGGCACTGCCGTTTCAGGGCGGGGTCATTTTCAGGACTTTCGTCGCGGATTCAGGTTTTGGCACGTATGCCATGTTGACCGCCATGGTCATTTTACCCTAAAACAGTTGAGATTACCTGTGATAAATGAAACGCATACAAACTCATATACAGGTCCTAGACTATTAGAATATAAACACAATGATGGGATAACTTTTTTACCGGCCAAACTTAGAATTAAATAATAGTTTCTGTTTAGCATTAATTTGTTCAGGAAATTGATGAAAACATTGGTAAAGTGGAATGTAAACTATTGCTCGAATGCCTCGAAGTAAAGTTTTAACTTAATACACTTTTCACTTTACAAATTTCGAAAACACAATTTATTTATTTATTAATTTATTTATTTATTTATTAACTTTACAACCATACATAAAATAGACTAAAACACTACAAAATATGGTTGAAGGTATGGTCAACAGGACATGAATAGCCCCATGTGAAGACCAACCTTAATGAAAACAAACTATAACAAACATAAATCAAAGACGGTAACAAATATAAAATTTACAGAAAACATGACGAATTACGAACAACAGCTTAAGTTGAAAGAGCGACATTTAGAACAGAAGGTTTTCCAAGTGCGCATTCTGTTCACATCGAAAGATGAATGAAGTAGGGAAGAGTAATGAACAGTTAGTCTGTTTTTAAAGGAGGAAACGGATGAACTATTACGAATGGTGGGAGAGAGATTATTCCAGAGAAAGACAATTCGGTTGAAAAAAGAGTTCCTAAAGAGAGAAGTCCTGCAAGGATTGACACGAAGCAAGTTGTCCGAACTTGAACGGGTGTGAGACGAGCTGTTTGAAGAAAAAGTGACGAAAGAGGAGATATCTAGGTCGAAGAGACCGTGCTTACATTTAAAAAAGAAGACGAGATCCTTTAGTTCCATCCAGTAGGATATTGGTAATAGATTAAGCTTTTTAAGGCGTTCAGGATATGGCAACTCATAATCCTGAAGGATAAATTTACTAGCTCGTCTTTGAACACCCTCGATGATCGCAAAATCACGTGACGATCCTTGAGGTGCCCAAATCTCACTACCATATGACAGATGAGATCGGACGAGAGCAAGATAAAGAAGCCTACGACAGCGAATATCAGACATTTGCGTACAATTCCTACGAAGAAAACCAAGCATACGATTGGCTTTTGCAGTGCAGCTGGCGATGTGAGGGGACCACTTTAGGTCATTGCTGATAACAACACCCAAGTAATACAGCGGCTAGTCTCCTACGCATACCTATACTTAGCGGGCTGAGCCCTCACGTAAGGTATGCTTACTTTGGCCAAGAATTCCTTTCCTCAAAATTAGCCAATCACAGCTTTACCCACGAAAATTGTGGGGCTTGACCTTTGGCTTTGACCTTGAGGCTTGGGTCGTTAAACGTTTCAAAACATTTATTAAATCTTGAACATTTTATATATTCATTTGTACGAATTCATATCTTAAACCGATTATATATGCGAGAGCCGAGAGATATATTTGTTATACCGATATACCAGTCCACAAATTTACAATATGGAACAATTGTAAAACTGTTAGAATTTGTCGAGCTATATTGTTTTGAACAGACAGTGTAGAAAAATCGAACAATATCACCTAAAATATTTCGC